TTTATTTTTAAAAGAATGAATGGAAAATTACAATTGTGGTACATAAGTTATATAGTGACAAACAAAAGTAGTGAAGAGAACAGAAAATACAAGGTTTGTGGGGAAAATTAAGAAAAAATATATAATAACATTGAAGAAATGAATAAAAAATATATAATAACATTATCTCGAATCTCGATCAATAGACGTATCGACTCCGATCTTCAATCGCAGAGGGCGACTTTTGACATCGATGACGTGTTTAAATACGATTTGCCTTATTTAAGTTACGGCAAGACCGCCTTCGGAGTCAAAGAGCGACCAGTTTGAAAAAAAAAACTCCGCATTCGGCGCATATTATGGCAGTGTGGTGTTGTTTTACTTCGAAGGTTTTATGTAGATAAATGGTAACTTAGCGTGAATAGGATTTTACCGGAATAGTTATTTTAAGCTATATAATTGACGATTTAAAAAAATTTCATTTGTAAGAAAGTGGCGCGGCCCAGTACTATTTAGTCCACGGCCCAGTACCGGGCCGCTGACCATGGGTTGGGGACCACTGGACTAAGGGAATGCCACACTTTAAGGACTTCCGACCACGGGACTTAGTAAACTGCAATCCGTAATGAACACTGCTGCTCGACTCGTGTGCAATAAGCGAATATTCGACCATATGACGCCGATATTGCACGATGTTCACTGGCTGCACATTCAGCAGCGCACGCAGTTCAAGGTCGCTGTTCTGACGTTCCGTTGCCTTCACGGTCTGGCGCCTCCTTATCTCACGGAACCCCTCAGGGGGGACTTCTAACGTGTGTCTGTGCTCGTTAGAAGTCCTATGGGATTTCACGTTACCAAGGGGATTGTTCCTGAGCGTCCCACCGCTGAGCTCGCGGTGTCTGACTGCGTGTCTCAGTTGTGGGGTTAAGTNTATTCCTACATCCTGACACTGACCTCCTCAGGATCATTAATTGACTAAAGACCGTGCTTCTTGCCGCCTTGGCGACCAATTCCTTGTCTGTGATAGGATGGTTTAACTTGTAAGGCAGTCAAGATGTGTATAAGAGACAGAATTCAATTCGTTCTATGGTTTCAATGTATTAATTTGTGACTTCTGATTTGTGATTCTAGATTCTACGAACTGACGATGGAGCTGGTCTCCGAAACGTTTTCTATAAAGATATGAATTTTTGTAGACTATTCTTTGCTTTTAAATTCTTAGTTAGTAGATAGCTGTCTGTGGTCTAGTAAAGTTGCTTATGTACGCTGGTCCGGCACACCAAATGTCGACTAACACCACTCTCGTTTGGAGTCACTCTCTAGTAGAGCGCCTAATTGATCTGTAATATTTAATAGAGAACACGAATGCTTATGGAGTGTTTGGTCAAAGGAGTACAAAAATCAAAATGCAAATGATGTAAGTTATTTTTACTTGACGTGTTTAGTTTCTGTGATTTTAGCAACTCCTGACAATTTATGCATTACCATTTAGCGACTTCAAAGGATGATATAATATCGGTACGAATATTGGAACTTTTCATTAAGAATAGACTATATTTTTTATAAACTGTATCTTTTTGAATGTGCTAGTTCTCTAATTATGATGCCTATGCTAAATTCTCGTTTACAACTGGCATAGTACGAAGAATGACGGACCGCAACACACCCGAGAACAATGGCCCACAGCTCAAATTCGGTTACATCTACATCCATCCTCATTGACGTTTAGGTGGCAACTAATGTTCAAAGCGCGCGGTCTCGAACTACCGAGTACAAAAGTAGTGTGAACGGTCGTGCGCGGTGAGGCACTGCAGCAAACGACTCAAAGCGCATGTCGTTGCCACTAGTGTAAACGGGCCTTAAGGCTGAGTAAAGTTAATGCACGGTGAGGCTGGGCGTTGGCTCCATGGCTTATTTAAGAGTAAAATTTGTGGCTCCCATAATAATAATAATAATACACATTGATAATTTCTTCAGAATTAAACTTTATTATTTTTATTATTATTATCATTTACTTGGGACTCTTTTCAGATGAATCCATCGACCGAACAGGAAGTGGTTAAACAATGACAAGTTATTTGGAATGAAAACTGAACATTATACAAAACCGCTTACATTGCTGCTTAGCCTAATACATCAGCAGCCTAGTACATCAGCATGTTAGGATACCAGCTAAGAGGCTGCGAATGAACGTCTTTAATTAATATGGATTGGTTTTATTGCCAACGGGTTTGCACTGTGCAGGATTTGGAGATGGAAGTGACCGCCATCTTGAAGTTTTCTAACAACAGATTCGGAACTATTGTGCTATCGACGTCAGTGCTTCTGCCCAACGAAGCCCACGTTTCTGGCACCAAAGGCACCATCACGGTATATGTATATGTCTTTATTTTTGTAGTCATAAAAATAATGTAGCATTATTCATTTATTATTATAATTAATTCATGTTATTATTTCATATCTATCATAAATGTAGTGTAGAATTATTCACACTGCTGTTTCATAACACCTTAATTTTTTGGCTGTCATCCCTTTGTGTTGCGCTACTAACAATCATACAGACCATTTTTACTTCACAGCGTTCGTATTTCAATAATGTTTCTTAGATTTTTATTTCATTTCTGGGGCGTATAGAGAGAGTTGTAATAACTCTTACCAGTCATTTATTCTTGACATCACATTTTCGTGATGGCAAAACTAGAAGCAACGTTTAAAATATTAAAATTCTTATTGTTTACAAACCTTGATTTTGAAAGCGGCGTGCAAAAATTTTATAAGCAACGTTTAAAAAATTACTTGCACTTACAATTCTGATAGTTAATTATTTTTTTAAGCCATGTCTAAACATTTTAGAAGTAACGTTTAAAACATGGAAAACATTTTATATTCTGTTTATTTGAAAAAGCATTTGTTTAAAAGCAATGTTTCAAAAATGTAAACACTTTTAAATTCTAATAGTTGACAAGCTTCTATTCTTGCCACAATCTCAGCTGGGGTCGCCGTTCCATGCACCGACGCGCCTCACGTCGCCCTCCGGTAACTTCGACTGCCCCCTCGATCCTTCAGAGCGTAAATACGAGCACGTCAACAGCCAGTTCCTCAAGTATGAAGCCCAACACGTCGCTTCTTGCCTCGAGAAAGGTGAAAAGGTGAGTTAGTTGCGACATACGAGTTCGGCAACAGCTAGTTCCTCAAGTATGAAGTCCAATACGTCGCTTCTTGCCTCGAGAAAGGTGAGTTAGTTGCGACATACGAGTTCGGCAACAGCCAGTTCCTCAAGTATGAAGCCCAACACGTCGCTTCTTGCCTCGAGAAAAGTGAGTCAGTTGCGACATACGAGTTCGGCAACAGCCAGTTCCTCAAGTATGAAGCCCAACACGTCGCTTCTTGCCTCGAGAGAAGTGAATCAGTTGCGACATAACATCTAGTGTTTAGTGAACTAGTGTCAGTAGTGTGATCTAGTGTTTACTAGTGAAGAGTCAATGTTAGATGACCTTCACCATGAGGCTCCTTTGGGCAAAAGTCTCCACAAATAATTGTTTTTCAGTATTAAGTGCTATTCTGAAAAGACGCCTCGGAAGCGTGAGCGTTTGAACTTTGGCAAATGCGATTATGTTAAACTCCGTAATGCATTGAGTGCGGCGAATATTTCCTATAAACGTTTGATTGTGGTTTTGCTAACAGGAGTTAAGGAGAGCCCCGTGATGCCTCACAGCAGCAGCTTGCTTCTTGCAGAAGTGATGCAGGATATCAGACAACAACTTGGTTCTTGGTTCTAGTGCCATTCAATGAATATCAACACTGAGACTTTGCCAATTCTTTAGCTAAATAAATGGTTTAACGAGTTTGATGTTCATTTGGCCTTTTACAACAGCTTCCTGCTTCGTGTACCAGATTTGGAATCTCTAAGCCTAGTAAATGCTGAAAAATATTATTGCAACATTTTCGCTTAACTGTCAAGACCCGAATTGAAATTACTGACAAAATTTATACCTTGTTTTCCGCCAAGGTATGAGTACATATGACGGATGTAGAGGTGGAGAACTAATGTTCTGTGTGAGAGCAAATAATTTAAGAGTGAATGCACGGACATACAGGTGGAATGAAAGAAGAGAGGATATTTGTTTTATGTATGACAGCGGGGAGAGGGAAACTGTGGAGNTACTAAAACCGAATCAACACTTCAGCGAACTCGCCTGCGAACTGGCCTGCGTACGCGATTACAAAACCTAACTTCACCTTCAACTCAACCAGCCATAAATCCATCAATAATGAACGGATTTCATTCAAATTTGGAAAATGAGTAGATAATGTCTGTAATTTGTGGACGGAATTATTTCAGATTATTACATCAATAACTTTTTTATTAATACGGAAAACCTAACTTGATTTTCAACTCAATCAGCCATAGATCCATCAATCATGAACGGATTTTATTCAAAATTGAAAAATACTGTAAGTAGATAATATCAGTAATTTGTGAACGAAATTATTTCAGATTTTTACATCAATAACTTTTTTATTAATACGGAAAACCTAACTTCATTTTCAACTCAACCAGCCATAAATCCATCAATAATGAACGGATTTCATTCAAATTTGGAATATAAGTAGATAATATCAGTAATTTGTGGATGGAATTTTTTCGATTTTTACATCAATTACTTTTTAGCGCATTTTCTCATTTATGGAAAAAATGCACTATTGTGCTCGCCATGTCCGTCTGTCCGTCCGTCCGTGACCTCAAGTTTTCGTCGACGAGAAAATGCGCTCTCTGTCACTAACTGCAGTGAGTACTGAGTTATATTTTTTATTAATACGGAAAACCTAACTTCACGTTCACCTCGCAGGTTAGGTCCTAGTCAGGTCAAGTTTCAATATTTTGTGGCATTAAAAAAAGTAATTGTTGTAAAAATTTGAACTAAATCCGTCCACAAATTATTGATAATGTCTACTTAATTTTCAAATTTGAATGAAATCCGTTCATTATTGATGGATTTATGGCTGGTTGAGTTGGAAATGAAGTTAGGTTTTCTGCATTAGTAAAAAAAACAATTGATGTAAAAATCTGAAAAAATTCCATCCACAAGTTACTGATATTATCTACCTACTTTTCAAATTTGAATGAAATCCGTCCATTATTGATGGATATATGGCTGGTTGAGTTGAAAATAAAGTTTGGTTTTGCATTCGAGTGCTCAGGCCAGTTCGCAGGCGAGTTCGCTGAAGTGTCGATCCGGTCTAAGAAAATGAATATGCAATGTGTGGTTGATAGCCGTTGTAAAGGCCTAACTCTGGAATGTCCTTTTTAGCGCATTTTCTCAGTTATGTAAAAAAATGCACTATTGTGCTCGCCATGTCCGTCTGTCCGTCCGTCCGTGACCTCAAGTTTTCGTCGACGAGAAAATGCGCGCTCTGTCACTCACTGCAGTGAGTACTGAGTTATATACCACGCCCCAAATCCAAATCCATGTTTTTTGTAATCTACTGCGGCTCTATAAAATATAAATGCTTCAATCATATTTATAGTGGCCGGGTATTGGTAGAATTTTGATAGTAGTAGTAACTAATCAAAATTTTGTCACATTAAGAATCTACCATAATGCTATACATTTGATCGATAGTACTAAATTTGGTACGCGACTACGGGTTTCATCATGGTTGAAACTTGTTCAACCATGGCGTTTCATGGTCTGAAAATATTTTGGATCGCTCGATTTCGTCCTACAAAGACCTTTACGCAGTACGCACAGCAACATTCACTTTCCACGGATCCGGCTGCTCATTGGTGTTGACGAAAAAGTGCGCTGCTGAATATTCCTAGGTAGTTGAATAAAACTGCTGAGGAGTAAGGAGTTGAATAATGATTTATAGTTTATACCAGTCAGTTCAGAACTTCAGGCTGATCAGCTAGTAAGAGCTTGGGTTTTAAACACTAATAATTTAAATTGGCTCGTCATGTATTGATGAGACACGAGGCGAGGAATGGAATAGTGATCTCTTTGTTAATTCGTTTCGTAGGTCGGCGGTTGTATTGTTCACACTTGTAGCCTTGTAGCTTGTAGGTACTTCGTAGTTCGCCTTCAACTGCTTTTTAATATGAGTGATGAATGAATGGACCTTTTTAGAAGCTAGACACACACTAAGACAGCTATTTTGAAATATTGTAAAATATAAATTGTAATCAATTCTGAATAGTGGTCAAGTTTTTTAGACTCTTCAACTTCTACAAGTACAAGCCCCTTATTATGATATTCATGATGTGATCGTTGTGATGTTGAGTCCTATTATAAACCATAACTTCCATAAGCATAAGTAGACCAGAGTCACCAGACAAACAAGCGCAAGGTATTGTGGATAGTGGATAGGCCTACTGGGCACTCACGAGTGGGCAGGATAGCTAGGCTAAGCTAGCTACCACTCATACGGTCATACCACATTATAACTCAGATACCACCGCATACCAGCATTGTCATACTGCACAAGCACAACATATTTAGATAGGCTATTGCCAGTATTGGTTTAAATCTTGAGTAGGTAATGAGGAATTTTATCAGAGGAAATAAGAAATGAAGTTAATGAAGTAAATGAACTATGAACTGATAGTAAAAAATCTGTTTTGCAGTTTGCTGCTAGTCTGATACTGCCATCATGCTATGCACATCTGTGATTAGCTTATCATGACAGATTAAGTGGATTATAATGTGGGCCAGTTGTGAACTTGTGATGGTCTGTCCAAACTCCAATGTGTCCATACTTTTTCAAATGCAGGAAGTCTGAGCTATGAGGAAGAGACGTTTCTGTTAGATTAACATTACTCAGGCAATGGTTAATAATGACTTGATGATATTTTATTCTAGGCCCTAGGGAGTAGGGAAGTTTAATAGTTGCTAATTAGTGGATAGCCTTTATAATGACATTTTAAAATTTGCACAATTTTAAATATTGCCGAGAAAGTTTTTTTTGTCTGTTTGAATGGTTTTCTTTCCTAATTAATTAATACACTCTAGACTCTAGTAGTTTAGCTGTATTATTTTTTTT